TTTTACTCCGGCGAAGTAGCAACTAGTGGAGAACGCAATTAACGCTAAGTGGGTATTCGATTGGAAGGCAGATGAGTTTGGATGGCCCACTAAGGTTAAGTCGAGACTTGTAGCGAGAGGTGATATGCAGAGAGAGTACATCAAACACGTGAACAATGTCATATACGGTCCATACATATAGGTCCATGTCCATGATATCATGATAGAATCGATACAATGAAAAGAACAAGCAACTCTAGTCTACATAGCCCCTACCCCCCACACTGAAAACAAGAGTGCATGTATTCAACAAAATGGCATCCACAAAAAGTGACACCCGCTTCTCAGTCCGACATCCTCGGTAGCCTCTTCGTGGCGGTGGAGCGCTAGCGCCATGGAGGATCACAATCAACAAGTGAACAATGCCATATATTTTTCAGTGTCCCTGATACCATGGGAGATGGTGGGAGACGACCGACCCCAACCCCGGTATCACCTTCCGTGCCCCACCGGAGTCTCTGGATTGAGCCATTGTTGTCCTCCCCCCCCCGGCACCTCTCTATTGCACGAGGTACCTTCAGTCCGCCGCCGCTGCCACGTCTTACGAAGCGTAGCGTAATGCAAAACAAGGGGATGGTCCTCTCTCCTGTGCGGTACGGACGGCGTGGACAAGGGGCGGCGGGGATGATGAGTGCAATTTATTCAGGTATTTTCTGGATAAATCAACCGCGTCTGATCTAAATCAATTGTGCTTTCCCGTTGTAACCACCGGCGGCGTACGACCACATGCGGTTGTTAACCTAGAAGTACGCCAGCGTATGCCCACACCGCGGGTAGTACATGGTCAACGGGAGCGTGCGTGTACACAGAGAGAGGGTATGCAGCTGCCGGAAAAATACTACTGCTGTGCGGCTCAAACGGCGAAGGAAATTCTCGGCGTTGGTGTGTTCTGGTGCGTAATTCACCTTCAAAACAAGAGACGCACTGCTGCTGCACTGCTGCAGGTAACGAAACGTATCCCCCGCGGCACACGAAGGGTTGAGTGTGTGGCAAGGCAAGACTAAAAAAAAACAAGGGCGATTCATCCCTAGTCTAAGGAGCAGGCTGCTTGCTGCTGGGGTCTATGCATATTTTTTGCTCTTCTGTTGCTGTACTGCCGTACCTGCCGTAACTGGTGTTTCGTGCCTGCTGAGTAAGTAGCGGTGTTCAATACAGCGGCCGGTGCCGCTCCTCCCTCTCTAACAAGCAAAATCCCGGGGTATGCTCGTGTATAGAGTGTGTTGTGTTTTCGTCCAATTTATTATGGCGACAGTCCCCCCATTTTTCGTGGTGAGACGTGTACTACAATTTTCAGCGTATGTAGAGTACTACACTTTTCAGTGTATTCTTTCGCACAACTACAACCATCCCGAGTCACACAGGAGGGGGTAAACACCAGGGCTTTTTCCTTCTTTTTATTTCGTTTCATGCCCCATCTTCCTCCTGCGATGCTTGCTGAATTTTATTTTTATCGCGAGAAGGGTCCAGCTGTCCCTTTCCCTCGTCAACGGTGCTAACGTCGAAGTTTGGTACTCACGAGAGCTTTATTGCTGTATTTCGCTTTCACCCGCAAGTTTCGTAAATTTTTCACCCCATGGGGATTCGAACTCACGACCTCTGCGACTAGCGGATTACGAGGATACCACTAGACCACCGGGGCGACGGTATGATGGATGAAAAGAAGAGCACTGCTGTTCGCTCTCCGGATTGCACCTATCTTCGGGACCCCACGTTTATTCGCCAACGGTGGGCACGATAGTTCCACAAGCTTCTCAACACCAAGTCGCCGGCCATCGACCTGCATGCGGCTGACAAGGTCAAGCGGTGGCCCACGTGCGTGCCACTTCATCTTTCCCGCTCGCAGCACCAGCTGCGAAGATTCCATCCCCCCACTCGCCGCACGCACCCCTGTCACACTCGCCCCTATCCCCGAATTCTTCTCATTCGCCATCCCATGGGTTAGACCTCTCCAAGAGCACCTCCAATACTTCCATGCCCCCCAGCACATACCAGTACCATCTCCACACATAATGGCAGACAACGTAAACTCCATGCAAT